AGCTCCGCTGCTGGGCGGAAAGCAACAGTACGCGTAGCGGGCGGAGAGTCTGGGCTGGGAGCGGCGGCGGCCAGAGGAGGGGTTTGCGGCTCGGCGTCGCTGCAGAAGTGTCGGCCTCTCGGGGAGCTGCCCCTGTGTATATGTGTGTGTGTTTGTGTGTGTGCGCGCGCGCGCGCGCGGCGGAGTGACTTGCTCGCTCTCTGCCTGGAGCCTCCGCTGGGGTTGTTGTGATACGCCGCCGCCGCCGCCGCCTGATCTCCTTTCTCCCCCCGTCACTCCAGCAGCCCAGCGGTGGCGGAGGGGGAGGAGGAGAGTGAAGAGTCGCTGGGCTCGATCTCCGGGGGGCTCCCCTTCCCCAGCCAGCCAGCCAGCCAGCCGACGCACCCGCCGGCGCCGAAAGCACCCCGAATCCCCTCTCGGATCTATTGCCAAGCCCGAAGGGAAAACTGGCATCAACATCTGGGCGAGCGCATCTGGGCATGCAACGCCGATTTTTCCCGGATTCCGCGCGCATCCAGGAAGGAGAGCGGTTCCTCTTCTCTGGCTGAGCCCTCAGTCTTCCTAGAAGGGTTCCATTTTTGAACCGCTTTTTTAACCGAAAAGGAAGCGAGGAAACGAGCTAGAGGGAGACGGCGTAGGAATCCCAAGGCAGCTTTCTTTTTTTCCTTCCCCCAGGGATTCAGTTCATGGGGATGTGTTCAAGGCAAGAGAGGATTCAGAAGGATATTGACATAGTGATCCAAAAGTGCAAGGCGGAGAAGGACTGCTTGTTTGCAGGTGAGTTTTCCAGCCTGGTTTTTTTCTTCCTATCCCGACTCAGTTGCTTTCGGACGGTTTTTCTCGAGGGAGGGCGAGTGGATGGAGGAGGCTCCAAACATGTTGATGGGAGGGTGGCTGAACCTGTTTGGAGGGAATCCTTTGGCGTTTTGTTCTAGGGTGGTGGTCTTCTTCTTCTTCTTCTTCTTCTTTTTCTTCTTCTTCTTCTTCTTCTTCATGTGAAGACCCCCTCCCCCTTTCCACCCCTACACATCATAGATAAGGTGGCTATTGTGGCACTTAATTGGTGGGCAGGTTGGATCTCTGCTCACTGGTTTCCTAGTTAGGATGCATTTTAGTTTAGAGCTAAGCCACCATCCACCTCAGCCTTCTTTTTCATGCACACAATTTCCCTCCATGTTTTTAAACCTTTGCCTGAACAATGCGCTTGGGTCTGTCCATCATATTTTTCATGCCTGGGAAGGTGGTGGTGAAAAGTATACCTCCTAGGGTGGAACTTAGTGATATTGTACACAAATGTGCCTATCTACGTTACCTTTTCTTTTTTTCCCCCAATCTCTCTCTCCTTCCCTGCCCTCTTATTTCAAATCTTCAATATTTGGGGATGTTGCTGTCCTCAAATCATTCCTGATCATGTTTGATTTGCCTTGAGCAGTTTGTCGGTTACTGCCTGTTGCCTCCACTGATAATGGAAATCCTCTCCGTTGCCATAGCACTGGAGCACTTGTTGCAGGGAGGGGTAGACTGGAGTGGTCTTCCTGCTATATTATTATTATTGTTGTTGTTGTTGTTGCTATTTTTATTTCCTGGCTTAAATTAATCCCTTGTGCTATATGTGTGCCATTCTGGGGAGGGAGCTGAGGGCGTGGGGAGGTTAACAGACCAGGCAGACAGATGTGGCAAGCAGGCACAATTGATCAAGAGCAATACATCTCTTTTGCATTTCAGATTTCAGATACGCAGATTCCACTTTTACCTTCACCTACGTTGGAGGATCCAAAAGGTATGAACACCCTTTAAAATAGCTGTATTTCTTTTCACTTGCTGGTGATTCAAAAGCTGCTGGTAAGCTGCTTGCGTTGAATAAGTTCGGAATGTTGCTCTCACTGTCCCTCCCTTGGAAGACAGCCTGTATTTCCAGCTAGTGATGCCTCGAGGCTTCCTTCCAAAGAAATATTGGCCTGGAACAGGTGTTCTGTAGGGTGATTATTAGTCATCAGAGGTTCATTGATTCTGCACTTCCTTTTCTTTGTCTCCCTCCGATCTGCAGACTTTAGACATTACGTTTGATGCATGTAAAAGGTAGGTAGGAGAGGAATGGGGGACATGGAAAAAAAAATTCCTATAGGCTAGGTGTAATATGAAGCAGAAACAGGACAGACAATGTTGAATGCTACCAGCCATGGAATTTGGTATCTATCTCAACAACACAGTACTATGGAAAAAAGAGATTGCAATATGTGAACCTGTTTGTATATTCTTTGTTAATACAACAACTAATTGGCATTAAAAATAGCATCAGTAAAGTTTATAGTGCATATAAGAAGTATTGCTGTAGGAACCAAACACTGAATCAATGAAATTTGATAGTTTTAAAAAAAAAATTGTATCTGGTTTCTGTACGTTGTCCCAA